TTTTGACATTGTTGTTGATTGCGATGTATCAAATAACTTTAATTATAAAAAAAATGCTCTGCTTCTGTGCATTGCCTGTCAGCCCCTGTGTCCGACCGGACTTAAAGCTGTTAGTTTTCACTTACTGATGTTGTTTCTTCCTCTCTCAATCCTTGTTGTATTTACTCTCTGATGTTCTTCGCTGATAAATAAATTGCAGAATTTTAGATGAACTCGTTTGTGTGCAGAGGCAGGTGTTTCTTTTGGGTGATCTCAGATGAATAAGCTTCAATCAAGATTGTTGCCTCTATTCATCATATACACATGGAGGCCATTTTCCTCTGTTGTCATACTCAAGGTTGGGACTTGGGATGCTCAAATTAAGCCACAACCTCTGGTGTTCAAAGACAAAGCCAATGCTTAAGTGCTAAAGTACCTTGAGTCCACTTGAGGGTGGCTCAAAAAGCTCTGGAGGTCCCAAACAGCCATGTTAAAATGTCCATTTCTACAGGATGTATAAACATGTTTTTTGTCTGGCACAAAAAATGGTCTTGCTCTGAAAAGTCTTTATTGGCACACACAGGTGGTTGACTTTTTTTTATAATTCATCTATTTTGATTTTATGAAAGAAAAGATGTATGCATACATCTGTATGATTGGGGTCGTGAATGATATGACAGCATTTTGCCAGGATGCTTAAGGCCCGCCTCATCTCCACCTGTTTACCTGCTTCTAGGTTAACCAAAAGTTATGCCGTGTTCCATTTACCTCGGACGTTGGAACTGGGAATGACGTCACACCCGAGTAAACTGCGTTCCAGTTGCAAGTTGGAAAAGCAACATGGGAGTAATTTTGTTTTGTTAGCTAATACCAGACGATAACAATACACTACGTGATAGTTTCTGACCGAAAATACTATGGAAACACTTCCACAGAGAGAACTTGCACGATACCATCGGTCTGATTGATTTAATTACACAAAAGACGACTAAGCTGCTAACAAACTCAACAGTTACATCTTAAATATCCGTTTCAATGCATATAGCAGCCATATTGGATATTCCCAAACTGGGAATTTCCCACTTACAAGATCAACTGGAATGTACCATTAGTTGAGTTTTCCAACATGGCCACTGTGGCTTCAAAACTAAACTTAAAAAAAAACAATGAGTGACATCACTGAGACTACTGAGACATTCTCGACGTCCTCCTCACTCCGCTCCGCTTAGGGCCCTGACGCACCAAACAGACGGCAGAGAACTAGCGGCGACGAAGGCCGCCTGTGGCGTCGATGGGCGAGGCCATTTGTCTTGGCCAAAAAGTTGCACTAGAACACACCGCAAAGGCTACAGCCAACGGCCAACCACCACGTACGTTCTGCACATATGTGAGAGGAAGTAACTCTCAATGCCAGCAGGTGGCGGTAGTCTGTAATTGTCACTCCAAAAAGGAAAAGGACGAGGAAGAATGTAGATAAATAAACCGTTGTTGTGATACGGGAAGACCATTTTCTCACCGCTGTCGCTCAACACTCGTGATATAGGAACTTCTAATGGAGAATAATGTCTGATAAAAAGGTGAAAATGGCGCTGGCATTGTCAGTACTTGGTCTTTTATTAGTGGAACAAGAACAGAAGAGGCACTTCTGTATTTCTTCACATGCATTGCCTCTCCTGTTTCTCTTAGCTGAATAGCCAATCAGAGAGCTTCCTACCCCCAACCGCGCTCGCGATGGCGATTCAACATGTGGAATCGGCCAAAAAAAAGCCAACTGGGGCTGACGGGTAGCGACGGAGCTGGACACACCACAAAAACTAGGACGACGACTGCTCACCAACAGACTGACGGCTGACGGTCTCCTTGGTGTGTCAGGGCCTTTACAGAGACCAATAGTACAATGTTACAATTCACTGAGCAGACACTTTTATCCAAAGCGACGTACATCAGAGAGTAAGTACAACACTAATCCATTCATACACCACCACCGAAGCAGTGGGACCAATGCAGGGTTAAGTCTCTTGCCCAAGGACACATCGGACATGTTGGTCTTACTATTTAAGTTAAATTATAACCCTGTTTTTTAATATTCATTATCTTTTCATTTGTTGATTAACCGAGAAGTGAAAATATATCAAGTTTGTAAGATTACCTGGAACATATCTGTGAGACATTCTGACAGCATTTGAGCTTCAGAGTGTGATGTCTGAGGAAAATTACTGGGTTTTTTTTTTTGGTTTTTTTAAAGATTTGTTTTTGGGCTTTTTGTGCCTTTATTGTAGAGATAGGATAGTGGATAGAGTCCGTAATCAGGGAAAGAAGTCTTTTAAAGATACCTTTCTGATAGAAAAGGACAGCTGTCATTAAAAGTAACCCATGAACACCAAGATTCCTTCAAGTGTTTGTGTCTGCATGTCCCCCAACGCTGTAAACCTAGGGGAAACACTGAATAAGAAAATATTCTTCTATTGAATGTATTTTTCCTCATTGTGAGAATCCTCTGAAGTCTTCGTGGCGACACATACTTCATAACTCGTGTTGAAAAGCCAACATGCAGATGCAGCATTTTGCATTTGTCATCATGGAAGTCAGTGCGGTTCTTTTGTCTTTAACACCATCAGTGGATGAAGGATCAGATGAGTGTGAAGGTGTGAGTTTGAGGAGGACTGAGAGGAAGATCAGTAATCTTCTGCACACGCTAGGGGAATGTTTGCACAGTGGGAAACCAGGCGTCAGTAAGTGTTAGTCACTATTTCAAAAAAATAAATCTTGACAAAGCAGGTGCAATTTCTATTTTTAGTGATCTAGGGTCAAGAAAAAAACAATTTGTTGATTAGAGTCCAACAAGAGACCTTGTAACACTTAAAATTAGCTGCTCAAAGTATTAGTCAAAACCTGTGTTGAAAACAGTTATGAGATGAACACAAATGTTCAATGTACTAACCCACCCCCAGGCGGATACAGTTTATGCAGATAACAGGCAGCACTACATTAATGTTTCTATGTTTTCCACACAGAGGTTCTGCTTTAAGGTTCCCTTCTCTGAACTCTCGACTGTGAAAAAAAACATATCTAGAGTCTAGTAGCTCTGACCAATAACTTCAAATTCAGGAACTTTTCACTGATGATGTCCTCAGTTAAACTCTATAAATATATTGGACACATTTCAGTCGGTGGCGGTTTGTCTGTCAGTGTGAATGTGAACTATGATCTGTATGTGGTGTTGCTTGTAGACGTGATGCGGAAGTGGGTGAACCTGTGATGCATAGAAAATTTGGTCAACTCATGCAAGATCGTGTGCTGATAAAATATGAATCTTTCATTTCCCGTTGAGACACAATTTGAACTTGAACATGGCACATTTATAGATTTACTACCATCAGCACTGAATTTTAAATATATGTTAAAATTGTGGTTCTTGTAAAGTCTGCTATGGTGACATTCCAGGAAACCCTGGTGTTAACTTGCTGATAAATGATACCATGTAGCCCTGAAATGTGTCACAAGATAACATTTAGAGACTCTAGAAGAGAATAAGGCTGCATTCAAAATGCTTTCTGTAACTCAAAGCTTACATTCTTATGTTTGTTTGCGTCAGTCTACCTCATTAGTTTTCCAACCTCTGGTCCGGGACCCCCATTGGAAAGATCTCAGGAGACTGCTCTGAGGTTGTCAAAATGACATATGACTTAAATCATGATAAGACACCTGAGAGTGTATATAAAGGGTATTTTGGTAAACAAAGTGTGTTTAGGTGGCTGCGGCTCAGTGGTAGAGTTGGTCGTCTCTCCGTTGGAAAGTAGGGGGGTTTGGTCCTCCAGCAAGACGTTGACACACGTTCTTTATGAGTTACATTAACGCCCACTGGACTCTAAAAATGTATTTTCCTTACATGCACTCTGTGAGTAGTTACACACACTTAGATTTTTTCTCATAGTCCACTGCACAGCTCCTATATTGCACCTTTTGTGTTTTTTTTATTTTAATTTTTTATATTTTAGCTTCTTTATTCTTCTTATACTGTATTATTTAAGTTGTTGCTAGTTCTGCTTTATTTTCCTGTTAAAGCACCAATACACCAAGTCAAATTCCTTGTATGTGTAAATGTACTTGACAATAAACCCCGATTCTGATTCTGATTCTGATTCAGATCCTGATTCTGATTCTGATGTGTCCTTGGGCAAGGCACTTAACCCCAAATTGCTCCTGCTGCTTCGTTGGTGACATGTGAATGTGCATGAATGGATTACTTAATACTGATGGACCCTTTTCATAGCACCATCTGAAGTCTCCAGTCGATTATTCTTGCTGGTCATGGTCCAAACAAGAAACCCCCCCCCCCCTTTTACCTGCTCTTTTGTAACAATATAACAAAGAGTAAGGTCTTGTATCCGCTCTTTCATAATGTTCCTTGAGATAACATTTGGTATGACTTGGTGCTATACAAATAGAGCTAGATTGATTGAAATAGAGACACAGAGATACACACAGGATGGGACAGTAAGAAGTGGACCTCCTGCTGCTGCTCTTATATTTTTCAAAGTAATGATGTGTCAGTAAAAATGACACCATGTATATTGAATTCATAAAATTTAGTCTGGTATTGTCTTGTCTCTGGCAAAACAAGCAAGCATAGGCGGTTCTAGGCAGGGGCCAACAGGGGCCAGTGCCCCTGTAACACTGAGCTTGGTCCCCATTGTGGCCACCCCTCCAAAAGGAAGAGCCCCCCTAATAACACATACACAGTATTTGACTCAACAACCGGACTCACAATCTAGTATTAAACACTGCTACTGAAACAAATACAGTATAAATCATGATATTTTATGTTGGGTGCTATTATTTGGCATAATATTTATTTTTTTAAACAATCATCTTTGTCTGTTTTTCACCTGGGTTTAATGCTCCCCTCTTAATGTTCCCCTCTGACAAAACAACTGGCCCCAGTTTGGCCCCCTCAGTAAAAGTGGTCTAGAACTGCCACTGCAAGCTAGACAGGTCTATATTCAGTCTCTCTCGATCACTGAGTGTTTTGAACATTATGTAGAAGTAAAACACTGCCCTTAGAGTTCTCTTGGTATGTAGTAAATGTTCTGTAAGACAGCGGGCTCCCACATGCTCAACATTCAGTTTCTGATCAAACCGCAGCAGAAAATGTTCTGACCAAAAGCCTGATATCCTTTTAAACAGCCATGGCATAAAACAAATGAGTTATTCAGTAACTATTTCACTGCTTCAGCTGCTAATGGTCACTTTATTTCTTTTTCCTTCAGTGCTTTCAGGGTGACGGTCAGTCCTCCGGCATCACACAGTTGAATTTCCTCCTCCAGTACGTCGTCGTGTTGCGGCTCAGGAGAAGCAGAGTGGACTAAAGCTGCTTCATCCTTGTCTTCTTTCTCCACCTCAATTTCCTCGAAGTCATCTGGATACTCCGCCTCTTCTGAAACATCAAGAGCCTCTGCTAATAGGAGAGGAGGCGTCTCGGTTATTGGAGGTACAACAGACAAAAAGCAGCATTCAGTATTTATCTGTTTCATACAGCTCTCATTTAGTTCTGTTGTTCTATTATTCACCATGCACCACTAGCACTTAATCATTAAGTACTACTTGCACATAGCTCTGTATATGTATATATATATGTATTTCCCATTTACTGCAAGCAGTTGTGTTTACATCTGTTTACTATTGCATTGTTTCTGTTTACATCTGTTATTCTGATAACTTCTCACTTATATCTCTACTATTTTTATCTATTTTGTATTTTAACTTTTGTATTTAAATTGATATTTTATATTATTGGTTTAAAATGTTTCGTCTACCTGCACTGTCGTTAATTTACTGCTCTGTGTGCCTTTGAATTGCCCCCCGGGGACAAATAAAGTTTTTTTGAGTTGAATTGAATATACATGAGCATTGAATTCTTTTGTCTGGATTGTTCCTCATTTACATCTTTAGCTTAGCGTTAAGAAGCTTTACCAAAGGTTTCTCAGAGGACCTTCAACATGTTCACAAAGAAAGAAAACAAACTCATTGCCTGTAAATTCCACCACCTTGAAAGAAACGTTTCACATGAAGTTATAAAAACAAATCTCAGGACATGCATACTTTTAGGGTTTCCACAGATTAACGTGGAATGTTTCTTGTTTTCTAAAACCTATAAATGATAATAGTAAAAAGTCAGTATATGTTTTTATAATTAAGTAAAACCTTAACTAAGTTGTTGGTTTTATCAGGTCACATATTGCAAAAAACCTTCTCCTCTTTGTTTAAGCTGTGCCTGACCGGAAGCTAATTTTTATCACCATGCATATTAACACATATGTCCAGTTAGTGATGAATTCAACTTTGATACACTTAAAGCTGCCGACCAGAGCGACAGACTTTACTACAGCAGAACTGCTATAAAACAAACATGTAAGTGCTGGTGCAGTCCTGTTAGTTTCTGGCTAATTTGTTATTTAATTAAACTCTTCTAGTGTATACAGTATAGGTTTATATTTTGGGTAGTTTTACTCTACCTGAGCATTCACATTTGCGTCTCCTTTTTACTTATGGTGCTCAACATTTCAGAAACTTTTATTGCTGCACTTTCTTCCGAAAGGTAACTGCTTACTTTTAAAGATTTTACAAATTAAAAGAAACGCACATCACATTGTTAAAGCCTTAAGCAGTAATGCCTTCTTTACCTGTGACCTGTGACAAAACAAAGAGAGTATTTATTTGCTTGGTCTTGTCTCAGTCTCAAACTGGGCGGACCCCGAATTCTATATCAGGACCGGTCAAGACCACCACTGAGAGACTATTTTTTTCCTCCTCATTACTGTGATTAGAAGGAAAATAGAAGGAATCATTTCTATTTATTCATAATTAGATTTATATCCCCCGGTTACAGCCACAACCTTCCCAGTGTTACGGTCTGAGTGACATGCTCCCTGCACACAAAATGATGATTTTTCAGTGATGTTTATGGTCTTGGTCCTGTCTCGGTCTCACCTCGCCTTGGTTTTGGTCTTGACTCTGTCCTGTTCTCTAAATGTCATGGTCCTGTGTCGGCCTTGGACCACTCTGGTATGTCTTGGACTCGGTTAGTGTGGTCTTTACTACACTACTCCACAAACAAATGAATGTTCTGCATCCAGAATAAAGAGGCACCCAAAGTGTCAAAGGTCAAATAATTAAATGCAGAAAATGTGGACCTGTGCACTCTTTGCAACATTTTACATTTTCTGTTGGTTAAGACGGAAACTGATTAGAACTTTTATAAAGGACTGAAGCTAAAAAATAGGTTAATCAACTCCGGGTGAGCATTTTTTAAAGGATACTAAAATGACACTTATGCTTCAACACGATTTTTAAACAAAGGCTATTTTGATTGGATTAATGATCGATGGATTCACTTAATTTTTCATCTTCATAGAAATATATTTATTTTTCTTTAAACACTGTGGTATTAAAAAAATATAAATTAAGAACTGAGTGCCTCTGCCTTCATTTAGAGAATTATTTTTCATTTAACAGCTCCCCCATTACCGAGAGGCTCAGCAGACTCGCTCCTCATTGGCGACCCTGAGTGTTCACTGTGCTCCTCCAGAGAGGACAAACTTCCATCTTCATCAAAGTCTTCAGGGTAAAGGCAATCCGATTGGTTCTGTCCAACACACAAAGCATCAAGAGATTCCTCCTCCTCCACATCACTGCAACTTGCCTCGGCATCGTTTCCTTTGTCTTCCCACCAGGAGGACTCACTGAGAGCTTCTGGCTGTAGTGTATTGACTGTGTCTCTTTGGTTACCTTCTATGTTCATGTCGATGAAGTCCCCTTTGGTTCCAGTAGTATTATCACAGTCACTCTCTGTGTGTGAACTGACTTCTAGGTGCTGTTGCACATAGTCACTGCTGAGTATGCATGCAGCACTCGGTCTGTGTTCAGGGATGAGGCAAAGCATAGTTTTGATCAAAGAGTTGATGTTGTCAGAGTAGACCTCTGCCACAGGATCATACTCTCCTTTAGTGATCTTGTAGAACAGACTGAGCAGGTTTGTAGCTGCAAAGGGAGGTCGGAGGGCACAGATCTCATAAAGCAGACAGCCCAGAGCCCAGATATCAGACTTTGAGCTGTATGGGACATCCTGGCAGAGCTCGGGACTCAGGTAGCTGGGTGTACCGACACATGTAGAGGCCATATCAGCTGTGTGTGTCATCACTCTGGATATTCCAAAGTCCCCCAGCTTCACCAGACCTTGCTTTGTTAACAGTACATTAGAGGTTTTGATATCCCTGTGCAGTATTTTAGACATGTGTATAAAATCAACAGCCTTGGCAACTTGCACAAACCAGCCCATCACCGTTTCCTCTGTGAAAAACGTCTTTGTTTTCCTCCCTTTGACTTTGTCGTCTAATGTCCCGCCATCACAGTAGTTCATCACGATGCAGATGAACCCGTCATTCACAAACACATCGCTGCATTTGACAATGTGAGGGTGCTCCAGCCTCCTGATGATTTCAGCCTCTTGGAGAATGGCCCTCTGAGTTTTTGACGCCCTCGTGTCCTCTACTTTGATCCTTTTCACCGCGTGCAGGCTCGTGCACTCTACGTGCCTCATGAGGAAAACGTCCCCTGCCCCCCCCCTGCCCAAACAAAACACCTGCTCGTACTTCTCCATGTTGTGCCTGGAGCCGCCAAAATATATAATAATATAATAATATAAATATAGCCTAAGTGAAAACCAGTGGTAAACAGGTAAGCAAACCTTCAACACAAGACAGCTTTCCACAAACGACTTTTGTATTCAGTTTCGTTGCCATAGTAACCACCTCGCCGATGACGCCGTGACGCTGGATAGGTCATAGCCTAATGTTTAATTTAATCAATTAACTAGTTGTCAGCTTTTTTCCAGGTAGGCTCATGATAGAAAATATGATGTTTAAAAAATAGATTATTTTGTTTTACCGGAAACAAGTTAGGCTAAACATTAGCTTGTTTTATGGTTTCAATAATTTTATGTTTGTTTGTTTTCTGATGTCAACATGTAGGCCTGACCACCGTTTATAGGCTACAGGACTATGCTGGGCATGATGGAGGACTTGATTAAGGCTATTCTTATTTGTTTGTCAATAAAAAAGGTCTGAAACATCTAGAGCCTCTGTTAATAACCTACTTTAAGAGAATAAGACGAGACTCCTTTATTGAGGTAGGCCTACCTAAAGGGAGAAAAAATACAATAATAGAATAATACAAGGTATTTACACTTCCACTTGTGGAAAGAGTTATTATTATTAAAAACACACACGTACTACACAGTGTGTATCATTATTGATATGAGTCATATATATAAGTCATATATATGGATCTAGGCCTTTAGCTCACATGAAAATGTAAGGTTTTCTTTAAAATAACATATAACTAACATAAATAAATAATATATATTTATATAATATAAATAACTGTATTTATGTGACATACAATTAGGCTACTGTTCTTGGATTTGAAACTGATCATACAAATTCAATTCAATTCAAACAACTTTACTTGGTCCAGAGGGACAATTCAAATGTTTCAAAGAGGAGCATTTTTCTTCATATTACAAAAAGTAAATAATGCCTTCCTATCAGGTAAAAGCTATTTAATACAAGCCTATAGGCTATATAACCTACTTTACCCTTTTTTTATGAACTTGAGCAGGGCTGTATCGTTTGAGATTGGACCTACTACATACCACGAGATGGCGGTGTGGGCACCGTCCTGCTGCAGCCTGCCGTTAACTAGCTAAAGAAGAAGAGATAGCTGCGCCGTCTGGTTCACTCTGTGGGTTCACTGCGCATCTTACCCACAACACAGCAGTGAGCGCGTTTGCACATTGCGTTTCCTATTCCAATATTGCCTGAATTTAAGTGTTCTTAAATCTGAAATGCCACCAAAGGGAAAAGGTGGCAAGGGTGGAAAAGGTTAGTGGTCTATAACTTATCCACTGTTAGTTATATACGAACAACTGTGTGTTTAAAGTCAGCTATGTTTACTTGTTTGTAGCACAAAGCTGTAACACACGACCATGCAATGATTCGGTTGTAGTACTGTATTTCTTCCTCCAGTGTTATTGTATAGTTTTGCATGTCATGGCTTATCTGCTGTCTTGGTTATGAATCCTGTCTGTGTGTAGGAGCTGCTTCGGGAAGTGCAGAAGCTGACAAGAAAGAAAAGGCTCCAAAGGGAGGCACCGCTGTAAAGGTGAATATGTACAGCAGCCTATGTATGGGTATGAACACTTCACTGTAAGAAAACCCTGGTATGTCAAATGGCACGTATCAGGTGATTTATATTGAGACACGAGTTTCCTCCCGTTCACCCACTAAACCACTGTTAGATGAGTTCACTGGAAGGAAGTGACCGCTACATTTGTTACGTTGGAACTAGACTTTCCACTATGGCATCACTGATGATGAGTAATGAAACGTTGTTAATCCATGTCCACCCTGCTGTCATGTTTAAAGTGATCTAATCTGAAGATTTGTTTCCATCTGACCGCTGTAAAAAAAAAAAAAGCATGCATGACATGATAATCATAAAGGTACATACTAACTTGTTAAAACAGCAGACACACATTTTGAGCAGCTTGTTGTATCTCCAGGCTATAAGTGGAAATAAAACACATTATGGCTACATGAACAACAGCTCTGGCTCACGGAAAAGAGAGAAAGATTAGGAGGTTTTGTCTATATCACAAGCTTTACACTAGAAAAAATAATGGGTTTTAAATTTTTTTTAAAAATCCACATTCTGGTAAACAATGTCTTCAATGATTGAGAGGAATTGTTAGTTTTATCCCACAACTGTAAGAGTAAATGTGTTCTGTGATGCATGTTTTTCCCCAGGTTCGACACATCCTCTGTGAAAAACATGGGAAGTGCATGGAGGCTATGGAGAAATTAAAGGCTGGAGTCCGTTTCAGTGAAGTAGCTACACAGTACAGTGAAGACAAAGCTAGACAAGGAGTAAGGCCATGCCTTTCTGTTCATTTGCTCTTTTATTGCACGATACTCCTCCACATTTCACATCTCGTGGTATCACAAAGAAATGGAACATGTGTTAAGTTTCTCTAACTGGATTGTCATTCTGCATGGCATGTGGATTTATGACACGTATACATACTTTAGATTGGAAGCATCTCAGTACATTGTTTGCAAAATATTATTAAAACACCTTGGATGCAGCTGCTGCATCAAAAGTCAAGACAGCCTTGTTTGAAGTAAGCTTTTCAAGACTGAATATATTATATCCTGTGGGGATGAACATAACATACATTATACATGATGTTCAGGCTAACCCTCATATTGAGTCTTCAGAGATGATAAATTCCTCACTTATGTTTACTAATCTTTACTCCCATCCCACACACAAAATGAGGCTGACAACATGTCATATTTGTGTACTGTGTGCATTTTGTCATTGACACCTACACTCCACCAGAACGACACTGATTCATTCTGAGCTAGTGGGAAATGCCAGTGAAGATAAGGCTGTTGCCCAGGTGTACGACATAAATACAGTATCTGTTATGTTGGAATCATTGACATGTAACAGAGCTTTTACCTTGCGTTCTTATCCATCCATTCATTGATCCATTATCTATACTGCTTATCCCGTTTGGGGTCAAAGGGGCATGGAGCTGATCCCAGCTGTCATTGGAAGAGAGGCCATGTACACCCTGGACTAGTGCCAATCAATCACAGTTCTTATCAGTCTATCATTGCGTTCTTATCTGTGACCTAATTAAGCTTGGAAAACAAAACAATTTACTTAAGTATATCAAGTCCCTATTTCTGTTTTCTGTGTCACTCCCAGATTATTATGTCTTTGTGACTGTTTTTTTTCATGACAGGGGGATCTGGGGTGGATGACGCGAGGATCGATGGTTGGACCTTTCCAGGATGCAGCTTTTGCCCTGCCCACTAGTTCCATGGACAAACCTGTATACACAGACCCTCCTGTCAAGACAAAGTTTGGGTACCACATCATTATGGTCGAGGGTAAAAAGTGATGGACATAGCAAGTGGGAAACGGACTATTTCCTGATCTTACTGGTTCACTGCAACATTTGATTTATATTTTACTGGTGTTAAAGAAAGATACAAATCTGTGTCTTTGTTAACTTGCACACATTACTGACAATTCAGCGTGATGCTGTGGAAATCGAATGACAAATAAATAATTTCACACAAGATGTAACAATGTCAGTTTTTGTGTTTGAAAACGCGGTGAGAGATGTGATTTTTTTTTTTATTAAGTTTAAGAAATATAACACTCAATTCTGGTGGCAAACCAAAAAATCGAGGTTTGCGATATGAGTTTATTAGCTGGTACAGTTAGTTTCTGATTATATTAATGCAGATGAGTTAGCTTGCTGCCAGTAGCTAAAGAAAAAAAATAATCAGTGATGTCTTAAAGGATGCACCCATGCTTAGGTTTAACATCAGTATCGGACGGAATCGGCCCTGACAGACATGGGCACATCTGCAAATAAAATGTGGCATGAACCAATCTCAGTAACTGATGTTTATCTGCGTCATATCAATTTAATGCTGGCATCTGGTTATCAGATCTGTTTGCAGGGTCAAACATGACAGAAAATGTTGGTGGTGGGAGTCTTACACCAAAAGAATTTGTAAAAAACAGAACAAACTTGTTGCTAATTGTTGTTTTGAACATAGGTATTGGTCGGAATTTCACAATCTGTAAAAGTTGTCTGTATGACACCAAACACAAATGTTGTTACTGAGAAGTAATGGTTAGTTTGTCAACTATCTTTTGATATCATTCTCAAATGTTTAAGCGATAGGCCTACCTTAAGCCCGTGTCTTATTATCTTTCAAGAGAGAAAATGAGCAAAGCCTTTCAATTGAGAGGGCAATATAAAGGTATTCCTCCTGGCATATTAGAATAATAAAAATCAGACAAATCAATTTTGAAAAGGAACATACTCATTTCACAGAAATGTGGAAATAAATAAATGTAGAAATGAGTAAATGTGGAAATAAATAAATGTAGAAATACATTTAAGACATTTAGTTATTTATGTCCCATTTATTTACCATTTTCATATATTTATTCACGCATTTAATTATTTATTTATTCATTCTCTTATTTATTTATTCCAGTATTTATTTATAAATGTATTTATTTATACTTCTGCCAGATCTCGTCCTCCATATGCTTTGAGGCCAAATGAAAGGCCTATAATAACCTGGTGTTGTTTACCTCCACGGCGCTAGGGGGCAGTATCCCGCAGAGGTTGTGATCTTACAACCCTACACAGGAAAAGACAGTTGACGTTGATACGCCTTGCTGGTGATTGGTGAAGGTAAGATGGCGGCGCCAGAGGAGCCAGAATTATCTCAGGCGCAGACGGAAAAACTCCTCCAATTTCAGGTAGACAGCCGAAATTAAACACCAAAACATGTCATTTAGAAACCTTATACAGTAAACCTCCTGCTTCGATATTGGACATCCTGTGAATAGACGAGGCCGTGTGTGTTAAAAGGGTTTTACTCCGTTAGCGCAGCGCCTAGCCCCTTTACGTTAACTAGAGTCAAAGCTAAAGTTAGCACAGCAAGCTAACACCAGCTAAGCTAGCAGATTTCAGAGGCCATTGGTTTGATTTGCCTTTCTTAAGATGTGTTATTTGTTATTCGCGAGGGTATGTACCATCTAACAGCCCTCGTAATTTAGAATATGACTTTATTGTGACTTAGTTAACGCCAGCTTTCCACTGACGCTACCTACTAAACATTTAGCAGTGTAGTCATGGTCGAGCTGTCACCCTACTTTCATAATGAAATCACTCTTATTGGGTGTGCTAAATGTTGTCATTTTTGGTATAAAAAAAGTTTGGGATATACTGTATCTCTGCGTTACTTGTGGACACTTCTGTAGCTGTCCAATACACTACTCTTTAGACCACTTATTGTGTAGGGTTAGCTTCTTCAAGCTAATCATTAACGTCACCCTGCTATGATAAAACTATCTGTTCTCTGTGTTGTAGTTCTGTTCAGGTCGTGATAGCTGCGTGCTCGATAACGGAGCATGGTTAATTAAACCTAAACATTATCCATGCTAACTTTTTAAATGAAGCATTTTAAACCAGAACTAACATCTGTCATTGAAAAGACAAACTTTACTGCTGTCTGAGTTACCTGACTCATTCAGTTTTTACTTTCGTTTCATGTCTACCAGGACCTTACTGGTTTGGAGTCAATGGACCAGTGTCGTCGAACATTAGAGCAGCACAACTGGAACATAGAGGTAAAGACATTATCTGTGTTTATATTCCTCTCGCCGGATTGCTGTAATCTGTGAATCTTTTTTCTTTTGGTTTATGACTAAAGTATGACGGCCTTAAATGATACTTTTTCAGGCTGCAGTACAAGACAGACTTAATGAGCAAGAAGGAGTGCCCAGTGTGTTTAACCCTCCACCATCCAGACCATTACAGGTCAATACAGCTGACCACAGAGTATATAGTTACATTGTCTCAAGGCCACAACCCAGGGTAGGTTATATGAATGTTTTCACATTACTATGACATGAAATGACATGATGATTTTTTTTATTGTAAAACGTATGCTTGTTTACAAATAGCCACAATATACAAGGTGTCAATTAATCTCAGTTTATGCTTTCATTTCTTTAGGGTTCTTTAAATGCTATTCTTTTACTTTTAAGCTAACCAATAAATGTTCTAATAAATGTCTTATTCTTATCTGCATGTATGGGGACAATGCATAGAAAAGCATTTATATCCTAAAACTTTGTTTTGAAATAGTGTTTAAAAGCTAATATACTGCATGGTTTCTTCTTTTCAGGGATTACTAGGATGGAGTTACTACTTGATAATGCTACCGTTCAGATTTACATATTACACACTTCTGGACATATTCAGGCAAGTCACACACATTGAATAAAACTTGCAACTGATGATAGTTTAACTTGTAGCTGTGGGAAGTGTATTGACCCCCACTGTGGGTTTTTCTTCCAGGTTTGCCCTGCGATTCATCAGGCCAGATCCTCGTGGTCGTGTCACAGACCCTGTTGGAGATGTTGTGTCTTTCATTCATAGTTTCGAGGAGAAGTATGGTCGGTCACACCCAGTATTTTACCAGGGCACATACAGCCAGGTGAGTTAAGTGATGTTAAGAGATGTAGAGCACCAAACATGAACACAGTTCCATTCAGGTTGAGGTAAAATTGCAACATTTTGTTTTTGTCCATCCTAAAAAAAAATGTAGGCCCTGAATGATGCCAAACGGGAGCTCCGTTTCTTATTAGTGTACCTTCATGGGGAGGATCATCAAGACACAGATGAGTTTTGCCGGTAATCTATCTAATACCTTACTGTACATAACCCGATTTTCGTCTTCTGAATTTTTGTTTTTACACAGCATCTGTTGATGGCAAGCAGTTGCACAAGCTTGTTTTGACTCTGTCTAGTTTATGAGTCATCAAGACACATAAGCTCAAGCTCAATAATATTTTTGAATAACACATACTGTTTTATATCCATCTTCACCTGTTAAATATGTTTGTGTTTTTCTCTTTCTAGCTCCACATTATGTACAGAAGAGGTTCTAACCTTCCTCAACACACGAATGCTCTTCTGGGCATGCTCAACCAGCAAGCCTGAGGGCTACAGAGGTATGCAAGTGTATTTTCATTTAACTCACCATTAGTTTAAGCTGTCAATGTGACATGGATTGCTCTGGTTATGGAAAATTACATTTTGCACACACACTGTGCCTGTTCAGGCAGGCCGTCCACCAATGACCCTGAGGAGCCTAAGAGAGCTCAGGAGCTCCCAGGAAAATATGTGGATAGTGACTGAGATTACAGATAGATACATGCAGTAATATGATGCACTATATATGCAGAGAGAGACATAGAGAGGAAGAGATAAGAGCTCAAGGTACCAGTCCCCCATGGTAGTCTAAGCCTATAACAGCATATTTTCTGTGTGTGTATCTGCTGTGTGGTGGACAGATGAAACAAACTCATAATGGAGCATTTGAAAGTGGATAAAGAGCCCCTCTTTATGTTTTACTAAATAGAAGATTAACAAAGATGTTTGTGTTTTGTAAATCATCAGAAAATATCAACAGACAGCAAGTCCAGTCGTGAAGTTGCTCATATGTTTTGATGCTTTGAATGTTGTCATTTCCTCCAGTGTCATGTGGTGAGGTAGGACAACTCAAACCTTGTTTCCAAAAGCTGAAACTATTTACATGAGTGTTTGGATGTGTCACCCATCAAACAAACAAAGGCGTAAAGTAGCAGCAGTATTAAAAGAGTGACTGTGTGATGGTTGTGTTTCAGTATCCCAGGCATTGCGAGAGAACACCTACCCATTCTTGGCCATGATAATGCTCAAGGATCGCAAAATGACAGTGGTGGGTCGCCTCGAGGGTCTCATCCAGCCAGAGGACCTCATCAATCAGCTCAACTTCATCATGGATGCCAACCAAACACATTTGATGTCAGAGCGCCTTGAACGGTAAGGAATCAGTGCTTGGTGTGGCATCCTCTCGTCTTCATTTTTAATGAGATTTGCTTCGAGTTGTTGATCAAACAATATCAGTTTTAGTAATGTAGTCACTGTTTGTCACTGACTGATTTTACACATTTTAACTAACTTAAAAAACATATCACTGATGTTTATCTTGCAAGATGTTCATGTTTTTAAGTGGTTTTACATTAATATTTTATATCAGGTTATTTTATCTTTATAGCTATATGTCACATGGCTCCATATATTGTACATGAGGGTATAATGGACACCAGGGCGAAAAATATCTTCGACTATATAACAATAAACCTGTGATAACATAAGTGTTTCCTATTATGCCCCTTATTTAAAATGATAATACATTCACAGATATAAAAAATTTATAAAGAGCAATTGTTAAATATTTCTAATATCTGTTGTCTTAGTATTGATAACACACAAAACATAAAATAAAGCAGTAAAATAATGTTATTGGTGTTTTCCCCTAAATCTTATAACACAAATTTCTCTGGTTAACCCTAATATCAGTTATAAATCATATTCCCATGCTATAAAAAGTGCGGGCTTACATACTTTTTCAGGTATGGAAGTATTGTAGGCGGCTATGGCTCAGTTGGTAGAATCAGTTGTATCTCATCTGGGTCTGATCCCCATCTTCTGCAGCCAAG